AATAAATCTAGAACATCATACACCGAATATTAAATAACGCATTGAACAATGTTTGAGTCATATAGAGTTGGTACATTTAACGGGAAACGAAGTGCACGGGATCAGCTAGTATATTATATTAATTTTATACTGCTACTTGATTTTCTTCACTGGCGGAGTTTACATACACTTAATTTTACCTTTTTTTTTACTGGCGGAGTTAACAGGAAAAAAACGTACTTGTGGCCAGTGTTGGGAAAAGATAATCAACAAATAATCTGGATAAGATAACAGATAATTCATTAAAAATTTATCCAGATAAGATAAAATATAACATAATTTTTTGTTATCTAGATAAAGATAAAAATACACATACATTTATCTAGATAAAAAAATAGATAATTTGTTTTTAAATTACCTATATTATAAATAATATAATTTATTACTTTATTAGTAATTACCAATTAGCTAATATTTATTAATCAATAAACCCTTAATGCCATTTCTTAACTAAAATAATATACAATTTTAATTTTTAATATAACTTACCTAAATAAAAATTAAATAAAATAACAAAATAAAACTGACAATGTTTTAGTAAACATTTCTATTTTAACTATAATAATATTGGAATCACACTTTGTTTCTTTTAAGAAATAATTCCTCGCCAAGTACATAAGTTATTGAAACAAAATAAGTTTACTTAAATTCAATATACTAAGCATTTTTATATTCATGATATCACATCTTTATAGTGCTTAAAAGTCTTATATTTTTATTACTTAGCCATTTTTACATGTAGTTTACTAAGGGTTTTTGTTGTGTTATATAGTATTGACGTATTGCAGTACGAAAATAAAAACTGGATGGTCGAATATTGTTTTATAGCGGAGTGATGAAACATATCTGCAACGTCGTATTATGTATAACAGCTATAATATCAATAGTTGTACATATATTATGAATATTTAAATATTATGTAGTTAATCATTTGTTTACCGTTTGCACATATGTATACCTACATATAGGTACTTACTTTATAGTATTATACATTCACAATAGTACAGTATTTGTATTGAGATTTTACCATGATAAAAACAAACGTTTTTTTTGAAGAGTAATAGGCAACTAGGTTCCTAACATGTACAATGTACATACATTTACTCTCCACCTCCCTCCCCCCAAAAAAAAATTTAAAAATGAACAAATTACACCACTCAAGTGACTGTATTGTTAATATACTCGTGAACGTCATCTTGATAAATAATTTGAAATACTTTATTTCGGAAAACTACAATGGATAAATATTTTTTTTACAATAAGTATTTTTACAGTTCTAAAACTTAGTTTATTAAAACATCACAATTTTCAATTATTAATTTATTTTTTGGACAAATAACTGAACATCATTCGTATTAAAGATTATTTGTTTTCACAGGCATTTCGATGGGGAATTTATACATTTTCTGCGAATTTGTTCTGTAATAATAATCTTCTTCTTCTTCTTCTTCAATCTGCCGCTAGGACCTTCACGTCAAACACCTTATCTCCAACCATCTCTATCGGACGCTCGTTCCTTCCAATCTGACCCTCCACCTAAGACGATAACATCTTTTTTTATAAGATCTTCCTATCTCATACGAGGTCTTCCCAGTGGCCTCTTCCCTGTAGGATCTTTTTCTAATATTACACGGAGTAGTGATTCTGACTACTCCAAGCATGTCCAGCCCACTTTAATCTTATACTCCTTACTACCTCCAATATATTCGGGTACTGGAAGAGTAATTCTAGCTCGTTATAACAATACCTATTTGTAATATTGTAACAAGGGACGTCCTTGGCGTGGTGGGAGTCAGAGGGGGGGGGGCAACTTCATCGTCAGTGGCAGCGACGGCGACGGCGATGACTCTGAATTTATAAGGGTAGTGGGTGATTAGCAACCGTGTATTTAAAAACGGCCGACCGCCTTTCTAGATATATGTTATAAATAGTCTTTAAACGACGAGGGGTCCATCAGAGTATTTTGCGTTCCAGTCACTGATTCAGGTGTGTAATTATCGCGCATTTTTCTGAAAAATTACGCTCTCACAGAACCTCTTTCTAAATTTTCCGCATCTATTGCATCACTGACCGCACAGTAAATATTATAAAATATAATATAATTATTCGATTTGATTTAAAAATTTTATTGTTGTCAATTCCAAATACATTAAATATGGTAATATTATAATAGACATTGCCTTTGCGATTCTTTGACCGGTCCACTTCCATCCAGCCACCATTACACAAATAACAATTTATAATCATATTGACATCATGAATTCACACACATCTTTAAGTGGCTGGCAGTCCGTCATAGCCAACATCGAAGTTAAATCTGACTTGAACGGCTCAAACATTGTGTCACCTCCGACCATAATCGCAGGCCAAAATTCAAACTCATTATCGTCCTCAAAAAAGTCGTCGGAGCCGGATCCAGAATCACCGATCCAATTACAATTGTGATTGAAACTCCAACGATCACGATCACCTCTGGCGACAGCGATATGGAAATCCACTGCTGTGAACCCAATGATAACTTCGCCAATGAAGAGAAGCACAAGTCTTGCCATTCCATGAGTGATCATTTTGAACGGCAACCCCGAAAACGTGCCAGTGGTGTACGGAACGTTGGCCAAGACGGCGTGGTACCAGCTCACGTTCCTGGTCCTGAGCATGTTGTCATTTTGTTTAATGGTGGTCAACTCGTTCTTATACCACTTCTCGGAAAGCCAGGAGCACAGCCGCTACGCCGACAACTCTACAATGAGCATCGTCTCGTCGCATTGCATTGCCTTTTTCGCTGAGGCAAATTAAAAAAAAAATATTAATGTTGCATTAAATATAGTTTAAGGATTATCTTTTTTTAGCTATGCTCTCAAGTTTCAAGTATATTTAATATTGTCCAATACAAAATAAAATATTTATAAGTTTAAAAGTACCATAGAATCCCATTATAGATGCCTTATAGACTGGCCAAGTTATTCCAGGACTTGTATTATGTTTTACTGCCTTAAGGTATTGTAGGTCTGAATTAAAAACTCCTCGTTGTTGCCAATAGCTGGTTCCTGGTGATCCAGTCTCTGTCTAACTTTTAGGTACAATTTGTACACCACCATCATCATACCCAATAACACACCAAATAGGTGTATCTGCCATTTATTCTTATACAGTTTAACCTATGGACAATATTATAAAATATTTATAATAATATTTGTTTTATAATTTTAAATAGCAATATTTTATTATGGTACTAAACATTTACATGCATACAATTTACTATACCTATTTAGCTTATACATAAAATAAATATAGATACATTTAGTCTTAGTGCATTACTTAGCACTTTGGAGACGACAATTTTTAAGGAATTGTTACGCTCAGGACGAGTGCCGTATCCAACACGGTCATAGTTTTTTAGTACATTTGGTTAAGTATGTATAGGTATACCTACTTAAACAAAATATGTATACATTTAAATATTTTGAACGTAATTGTGTTTTGTCCTCAATAATTTGGGATTAAAAAATATTTTGCGAAGAGCGATGTATAATAACCGACCCACGCCGTAATAATATTATAATAAATATAATACAATAATATGTTTGTAAGTGTCGATGCCGCAGAAAACTGTTTGGAACAAAATATTTAGACATTTTAAAAGAATGGGTTTTGCTTACATAATGTTATAATATACATAAACGTTTAAAACAACTTCTCCACAGAAAACTTGAACATGTAGGTATCGTTATATCTGTCATGAAATATAAACTGCTTTAAAACAATATACAAGGAGCCTTCTATTAAATTTTCAAGCTTTTTTAACCAACAAATAAAATTTTAATGATATTTATAGATAAAAAACTAAAAAAAATGGAAACTGAAAATGTCCCTAAACAGCTCAAAATAAGTGAAAATATTTGGCAAATGTTATGGTGCATAGAAAATGTTAATATAAACATTCAGTCAAAATTTCATGTACCTACCTACGGTCATTTGTTTAAGAGTTGCACCGAAAACCAAAATCGATTTTCTCGAGATTAGATTTTGAGTAAAAATTAACGTTTTTCCTTAATTTTTCTGTTGTTTTTCACAGCGCTTTTGAAAACTACTGGGAAATTTGTACTTTTGATCCCCCAAAGTATCAACTAGATTCATTTTCCTATCAGAAAAGATACTGTTGAAGAAAATCTAAGAATTTTTACTGTACTAAAAGGTGATGACAGACACAAAAATAAAAAAAAAACACACACATCTTTGTAAAATCAATACATTGATCGTTCCACTCAGAATCTAAAATATATTTTAAAATATGAAACATGTTTTTTTTTGTTTTTAGGGTTCCTTACGGTAAAACGGAAGCCTATTACCAAGGCTCCGCTGTCCGTCCGTCCGTCCGTCTGTCACCAGGCTGTATCTCATGAACCATGAAAGTTAGAAAGTTGAAATTTTCACAGATTATGTATTTCTGTGTATGCTATAACAACAAATACTAAAATTTATTTTTTTTTGTTTTTCGAGTTAATCGAGGGACAGAGGAGGAAACTCGTTAGCATTACTTCTCCTCAATACTAAAAATCCTAGAATATATAATATAAGCAGTGATGCCAACATAGTTGATGATGGTACGGAACCCTTCGTGAGCGAGTCGGACTCGCACTTGGCCGGTTTTTTTTTACCACAGACCCTCGTTTGACGGTATAATAATATACTTTTTAGCGTCTATATCGAATATTTCCACTTAACACCACGTCAGCAACAATATAATTACGATAATATAAATTCATTATACAAATATATATACCAACATACTGGTTGATTTCAAGTCTGCGACAGTCGGTTGTCTGATTGCCTCAGCGAAAAAGGCAATGCAATGCGACGAGACGATGCTCATTGTAGAGTTGTCGGCGTAGCGGCTGTGCTCCTGGCTTTCCGAGAAGTGGTATAAGAACGAGTTGACCACCATTAAACAAAATGACAACATGCTCAGGACCAGGAACGTGAGCTGGTACCACGCCGTCTTGGCCAACGTTCCGTACACCACTGGCACGTTTTCGGGGTTGCCGTTCAAAATGATCACTCATGGAATGGCAAGACTTGTGCTTCTCTTCATTGGCGAAGTTATCATTGGGTTCACAGCAGTGGATTTCCATATCGCTGTCGCCAGAGGTGATCGTGATCGTTGGAGTTTCAATCACAATTGTAATTGGATCGGTGATTCTGGATCCGGCTCCGACGACTTTTTTGAGGACGATAATGAGTTTGAATTTTGGCCTGCGATTATGGTCGGAGGTGACACAATGTTTGAGCCGTTCAAGTCAGATTTAACTTCGATGTTGGCTATGACGGACTGCCAGCCACTTAAAGATGTGTGTGAATTCATGATGTCAATATGATTATAAATTGTTATTTGTGTAATGGTGGCTGGATGGAAGTGGACCGGTCAAAGAATCGCAAAGGCAATGTCTATTATAATATTACCATATTTAATGTATTTGGTATTGTTGTGTATTTTTAAATCAAATCGAATAATTATATTATTTATAATATTTACTGTGCGGTCAATGATGCAATAGATGTGGAAAATTTAGAAAGAGGTTCTGTGAGAGCGTAATTTTTCAGGAAAATGCAATGCAGATTCATTTAAATATAAACTTTGTGGCAATGTACTTGGTTGTTGTGGTTTAGGAAATGGTTTTATTTTAATAGTGGACGTTACTTTAGGTCCAGAATTGTCGCTAGAACTAACATTTGTTTTTTTCTTCCCCTTTGTTCGGCTTTTTTTTTGTCTTTTTCCACATCTGTGTTAAGGTCTGCATGGACTTCAGACTTTTTTAGTTTACGTTTGGCTTTTTCAAAGTCATCTAAAACACATTTGATTAAAGTATTAAAATATAACAAAATAATTATTATTACAAACAATAATTACAATTGAAAGTATAAATTTGATGATTTGAACAAATGTTATTGAGTTTAGCATAGTATTTTAAATGTTATATTTATTTTTAATCGATTTATAATAGTGCCATATAATTTATAGTTATATACGAGTATTTAACTGAATTGTGTAGTATAAAATATAGTTAAGGGGCCTCACTAACAAGTCTTTTTTTTGTCAAAAACTACTGTTTCTAATTCCAACGATACGTGTCGACAATTATCACGATTTTCATTCTGAAAAGATATTTTGATTGTCCGTAATATATACAAGGGAACGATCGAGCCACATTTTTAATTTTTGTAATTTAAATTGCAATAAAAATTGTAAAAAAATCAAAAAAAAATACAGAATTTCCAACTTAAATATTTAATTAACTAAATACAATTTTAAAAATGTGCCACGATCGATCCCTCGTACATGTTGTGGAAAACAAGAATATTTTGTCAGAATGAAAATCGAGGTAATCGTGGCGACGTACTGTTGGAATTAGAATCGTATGTTTAAGTAAAAAATAACTAATAAGCATTTTTTCATGATCACAATATTATTATATATTGACATGTGTGTGCGAGTGCGTGCGAGAGCCCTCCGCACCACTACAATTGACCCGCATGGACGCCACACACACTAATAATCATTTACGACTAACACATAGATCTCGGGTGACGACGACGAGATTAGAAATTGCCTAAATGATTCTCCTTAAATCAATGCCATTGCGAGGCACCTTAATATACCTACTGTTTAAAATAAAACAAAATATACTTCTTACACATAACTCATAACTCATAAGTACCATATTATATGAGATGAAATCTAATAAATATTTTTATTAATTATATTCATATTTAATATTTTAAACGCTTTAAAAAAAATATCAATATTGCATTAAATATAGTTTAAGGATTATCTTTTTTTAGCTATGCTCTCAAGTTTCAAGTATATTTAATATTGTCCAATACAAAATAAAATATTTATAAGTTTAAAAGTACCATAGAATCCCATTATAGATGCCTTATAGACTGGCCAAGTTATTCCAGGACTTGTATTATGTTTTACTGCCTTAAGGTATTGTAGGTCTGAATTAAAAACTCCTCGTTGTTGCCAATAGCTGGTTCCTGGTGATCCAGTCTCTGTCTAACTTTTAGGTACAATTTGTACACCACCATCATCATACCCAATAACACACCAAATAGGTGTATCTGCCATTTATTCTTATACAGTTTAACCTATGGACAATAATATAAAATATTTATAATAATATTTGTTTTATAATTTTAAATAGCAATATTTTATTAATTATTATGGTACTAAATATTTACATGCATACAACTTACTATACCTATTTAGCTTATACATAAAATAAATATAGATACATTTAGTCTTAGTGCATTACTTAGCACATTGGAGACGACAATTTTTTAAGGCATAAGTAATTATGCGTATTACGTAAGTTGAGGACGAGTGCCGTGTATAACATGGTCATAGTTTTTTAGTATCGGAGACGAAACTATTTTTATACATTGCAATGTTGAGGACGCTTATCGTGCTTAAAACAGGCAATATTTTGCGTCCAAGCCGTGTTTTACATAAATCGTTTAAGTATATCGATATATAATTTATATTTTATATTCAATTATAATATATATTGCCGGGGGACGGAGTGGCCGATCGGTCTAAGACTTCGGTTGCGACTCAGACGTCGATTTCAGAACCGGATCGATTTCCGGCCATGGACGGGATTTTTCTTCAGGTAAGTCACAGAGTCCGGAGAACAAGTGCTGCCATCTTTCACCCGGGCATGGCAAATACATACATTTACCCAAATAGAAAATTCGAAAACACACATGTGTTAACAACCTACAGAACCTCCCCCCCTCTACGGTACCACAGGCTAATGACCTAAGTAGTCGAAGTCTTAACCCTAATAAAAAAAAATATATATACAGGATGTCCCGTGAGGATACCTTTTAGCCGTAGAGGGGGACTCGTCGCCCGGACAAAAACCGGTTTTTAGCCGTTTTACTTATTAATTAAAAAAATTATTAAAAATCAGGAAATTAATGAAATTAAAATGTTGAAACGTCAATATTTTCAGAAAAAAGAACTCTACAAAATGGCAATCTTCAATATTTTTTAAATAATTAATTAAAAAATAATTTTTTTAACTTTTTTACCAAAACATAAAAAAAAAATAAAAAATTAGTTATTTGTAGTGCTTACCTCTTTGAGTCTTAATAAGAAAACAGATATACGATATCTCTATTATTTCAGGAGATATCGCAATGAGTAAATCCTCACGGGACACCCTGTATATAAATTGGATTAAAATATCACAATACCAACAATTGTTTCGATATTATTTTCGATTATATTATATCATAGTCGAAAAATAATAATAAATAATTATGTTGTTGACATTATTTCCCCATCGACCATTGATTGAGTACGATGTCCTGGGCGCCAAATTCTATAATTTAATTGTTGTTATAATAGCTTGTTCTATTCGTTTTCTTTGTTTATAATTATTTGTTCTATTAATTGCATGTACCAGCAACTTATAGATTACCGGTGAGTCACAGAAGACAAGGGACTCTTCCAAAATGGCGACAAAAAAATTAAAAACCTAAAACACATCCATTTACTGGCTATCAGCACGTTGAAAATGAAGTAAGTGAGAACTCCACTGAGCTAGAATGTTTTCAATTATATTTCCCACAATTTATTGTTAAACTTATAAAAAAAGAAACCAATAGATATGCATTTTCAGTAATTCGTACCCTAAAAAAACTTAATATTATAAAAAAAATGCAGTTTGGCATAAGTGGATAAGCGGTTAAATATTTCCAAAGTGTATAAATTATTTTCAATAATTTTACATATGAGTTTGGTTGAAAAACCACATATTAAAGATTATTGGTCAACTAACCCTGTCTTACAAACAACATATGATTCTAAACTCATGAAAAGGGATAGGATTAGTATTTTTTCTATGTTACATATAACGAATAACGATAAATATGTTCGTAAAGGTAAACCTGGGTACAGCTTATATAAAATTAGATCAAAATTAGATCAATTAGATCAACATTATATTATCCTAGGCATAATATTACTGTTGATGAAGGGGTGGGTGGGTATGTGCTTTTCGCGGAAGTGTACATTTTAGGGTGTATATGAAGAATAAACCCGAAAAATATGGTATGAAATTATACATTGCTTCTGACCCACTAACAGTATACACATTAAGATTTGAGATTTATTCTGGAAAAGAAGAGGAAAATTATTTGGCAACCAATAATTATTATTATTATAGCTGGGAAACCCAAAAAATTTCCATGGGCAATCTCAAAATCCCTTTTTGAGCACCTGCCGGGGCTGGTCCTCTCCCTTTTTAAATTAGTCTAGCTTCTGCCCAGAGGTCTAATCTATCTCTGTACTAAATGTTGCAGGGCAATAACCAATAATTATTATTATAACAACTTCCAAACCCATGGTTACGATGGCAACCAAAGGACACACACCTAGAGAAACATTCTATCTCTTCCCGGGGTTGGTTGCCATGGTAATAATATGGACACACAGACACAAATTAAAGGTTAGTCAGGCGCAGGACGCAACAATACAAACATGGCCTACGCTAGAGGGTATCGATTATTTTTCCTGCGCTTGCACACACACACACGCATTACACAGATACTCGGCAAGACATTAATAATATTAAAAAAGGGAAAATTAGATCGTTGTAAAAAAGAAACTTCATACTATTGTCCAATTTGTGAAGTGCCGCTCTGCATTGACAATTATTTTGAAATTTACCACACAAAAAAACAATATTGGTAAAAATATATTAATTATTATTATATTGTATCAACTTAAATAGGTAACCTAACCCATATTATATTATGTTTATTGTTTTTTTTTTATATATTTAATTAATATTGGTAAAAATATATTAATTATTATTATATTATATCAACTTAATATCAGATCGATAGCTTAGGTATGAACTCATCCAACTCCGCCCTTTTAACCAGACCCAGTAGTGATTACTCCCCTCCTGTTTTTTTAGACTAGTTTTTTAATACATAATATAATCATATTATGTATAATTGGGCTCAACCCTTATTGTTGATAGTAAATAAATAATATGTATTATACTCACAAAATATGATTTTCGATAGGATTCGGGTGATTTATAAATTATAGCCTTGAAATAAAAGTTACAACTAGCGTTCGACTGTCACCGCAGTGCCTCAATGACAAACAAAGTATATAAACGAGGACCCAGTTGTTAGTCATTAAAGGTTAGTCAGGCGCAGGACCCAACAATACAAACATGGCCGACGCTTGAGGGTATCGATTATTTTTCGTTGCACACACACAAGCACTCACGCACGCACTACACAGACACTCTACAATACATTAATAATTTTAAAACGGGAAATTTAGATC